GTTTATTTTTAGGTATTTTGTTGTTTTTGCTGTAATGGAAATGTCTCTGCCAGTTATAAAATTCTGGTTTTTGAAGTGAAAAAAAGTGAATGAAAGGCCACAAAAGGCAAAATGTCCTTCTTTTTTATGGGTGAGTTATATCCTGCCACATATATATGTATGCTGTATCTTCATTATCTATTTAACTATTCGTGTGCACTTAGGGTGCTTCCATATTTTGACAATTATAAATAATGTTGCTGTTAATAGCAGGGTGTATGTATCTTTTTAAATTAATTCTTATTTTGTGGTTGGCTTTATTCCTTTGATAACTATGTAAATTTAAAAAGCTAAAGCTCTAAACTTTCTTAGAAACAATGAACAGTACATATACGTAAATTAAAAACTATGTATGCAGTAAAGAAAAAAAATGAGCTATCAAGCCGTGAAAGACATAGAAGAAACTTAAAAGACATATTACTAAATGAAAGAAGCCAGTCTGAAAAGGTTACAAACTGTATGATTCCAACCAAATGACATTTTGGAAAAGGAACAGCTACAGAAACAATAAAAAGATAGTGGTTTCCAGGGGTTTGGGGAGAGGGAGCAAGGGCGGGAGGAATGAACAGATGGAGCACAAGGGATTTTTAGGGCAATGAAATTATTCTGGATGATACTATAGTGGTGGCTACATGTCATTATGCATTTGTCAAAACCCACAGAATGTACAACATCAAGAGTGAACCCTCATGTAAACTATGGACTTTGGTTGATAATAAGGTGTCCATGTGGTTCATCAATTGTACCAAATATGCCACACTGATGAGGGCTGTTGAGGGTAGGGGAGTATTTTGTACTCTTTGTATTTTGTGCTCAATTCTGTGTTGAACTTGAAACTGCTCTAAAAGAATAAAGCCTATTAAAAAAAAGAAAGGAAGGACAAAAATCACATGGTCATCTCAATAGATGCAGAAAAAGCATTTGGTAAAATTCAACACCCATTTATAATAAAAATTCTTACCCAAATTGGTATAGAGGAAATATATGTCAATATAATAAAAGCTATTTATCAAAAACCCACATCCAACATAATATTCAATGGTGAAAAGTTGACAGCCTTCCCACTAAAATCTGAAACAAGACAAGGATGTCCCCCTTTCACCACTTCTTTTAAACATAGTATTGAAAGTCTTAGCCATAGCAATCAGACAAGAAAAAGAAATAAAAAAGGATCCAAATTGGAAGAGAAGAGGTAACATTATCACTATATGTGGATGGCATGATACTATATATAGAAAACCCTAAAGGCTCCACACAAAAACTACTAGAACTGACAAATGAATTCAGCAAGGTAGCAGGATACAAGATTAACGCACAGAAATCAGCTGTGTTTCTTTACACTAACAATGAAATACCAAAAAAAGAAATTTTAAAAATCCCTTTTGAAATAACATCAAAAAATAAAATACTTAGGAATAAATCTGACCAAGGAGGTGGAAGACTTATAGATGGAGAACTAAACACACTGAAAAAGGAAACCAAAGATGACTTAAAGAAATGGGAAGATATATCATGCTCTTGGATTAGAAGAATTAATATTGTTAAAATGGCCATACTACCCAAAGCAATCTACAGATCTAATGCGATCCTTATCAAATTACTGGGAATATTTTTCACAGAGGTAGGACAAATAATCCTAATATTTATATGGAACCCCCAAGGTATTACTAAAGCAATACTGAAGAAAAAGAATGAAGCTGGAGGAGTAATTCCCCCCAGACTTCAAACAATACTACAGAGCTACAGTAATCAAAACAGCATGGTATTGGCACAAAAACACAGTGGTCAGTGGAACAGAATAGAGAGCTCATAAATATTTGCAAATGATACGACTGACAAGGATTTAATTTCTAGAATATACAAACAGCTCATACAACTCAATATCAAAAGAATAACCCAATCCAAAAGTGGGCAGAAGACCTAAACAAGCATTTCTCCAATGAAGACATTCAAATGGCTAATAGGCACATGAAAAAATTGCTCGGTATCGCTAATTATCACAGAAATGCATATCAAAACTACAATGAGTTATCTCCTCACACCAGTCAGAATGGCTTCAAAATCCCACAAATGAGAAATGCTGGAGAGGCTGTGGAGAAAAGGGAACCCTCCGAAACTGTTGGTGGGAAAGTGGTTTGGTGCAGCCATTACTGAATACAGTATAGAGATTCCTTAAAAACCTAAAAATGGACTTATCATATGATTCAGCAATCCCACTTCTGGGCATATATCTGGAGAAAGCTCTAATTGAAAAAGATATATGCACCCCAATATTCATAGCAGCACTATTCACAATAGCCAAGACAGGGAAACAACCTAAATGTCCATTGACTGATGACAGGATAAGGAACTTGAAGTATATATATATTCAATGGAATACTACTCAGCAATAAAAAAGGATAAAATAAAGCCATTTGCAGCAACATGAATGGACCTGGAGATTTTCATACTAAGTGAAATAATCCAGAAAGAAAAATACCATATAATATCACTTATGTGTGGAATCTAAAAAAAAAAGACACAAATGAACTTATTTATAAAACAGAAACAAACTTAGAGACATAGAAAACAAACTTATGGTTACTAGGGGGAAAGGGTGTTGGAAGTGATAAATTAGGAATCCAAGATTTACACACACTACTGTATATAAAATAAACAACAAGATTCTACTGTATAGCAGAGGAAATCTTGTTCAATATCTTGTAGTAACCAATAATGAAAAAGAATGTGAAAATGAATATATGTATGTATTATTATGACTGAAACAATATTCTGTACATCAGAAATTGACACAACATTGTAAACCAACTATACTTCAATAATATATATGTAGTTAAAAAAAAGAGAAACCAAGAGAGACTTTACCTGTTACAGCCACGTGAAAATCTTAGAGAACTCAGACCTGTCCTCAAATGGATTAAGGTGGCACCTGGTGTAGAAATGGTACAGTGGAGGGGACACAGTAGTGAATGACGTCACAGTAGAAATGGTCATCACCTTTGGTGGCTAGAAGTCAGGACTGAAATCAGCTGCCTCCAAAGATCATTTTGAGGCTGAAGTAGAGTGGATCCCTCGAATCTAGTCAAACGGCAGTGCCAGAAAGTTTTAAAAAGCTAGAAAACAATTGCACTTGTTCTATGGTGGTTGCCAAACAATGATGCTCTGCTCCCAATATTCCTTTATATTTCCTACTTCCAAACAGACCCATCTACCTTTGAATTCTGACTCTGTCACTCTAGCTGTCAATAGTCAGCAAATGAAAGTAGAAAACCAAGGATCAGCCCAGAATTTTGCACCACTGAGAACGACCTTCAGAGACTAGGGTGACATCTCCACCATTTGTCTCTTTTCATAATTTCTACTTTTCCTGTCATTCCCTTCAGCCTCTCTGGGGAAGATGGCGTTGGTGTAGCTTCAGAGGCACATTGGTAGTGGGCTCGCAGCCCCCTAGAGCACCGGGCAGTGTGACAGAAAGCTTGCAAAGCAGCTGTGCTGCTGTGTGACTTAGGCATCACTGAAGCAGGGACGAGGGTGAAGAGGAGGCAGGACAGCCATGTGAGGGAGCAGCAGTGACCCACACTCATTGCATGAGGATGCGGAGGGGACTGGGAAGAGAGGCATATGAGACAGGAATTGTGGCTATCAGATCAGGGTTCTTAAACACGCAAGGAAAAGACCAAGCAAATAATAAGTATATTGAAATAGATGTAGTCCAGGTTTCTGATTCTTGGAGGAATATTTGTAAACATAGAAAAAGCAAAGGCTAAAAGGAGTCCTGGGGTTGGTTTTGATTCAGACAATTTCTGAATAACTTGTAGCTCCTTGTAAAAATGTATATGTGTATATATGCATGTCTGGGTGTGTCTGTGTGTGTATTTGCATCTGTGTGTGCATGAAACCGAAAATTTATGACTTCTTTTTGCTGAGAGATCCCAGGACAATGGCATACTGATGGCAATATACACATCTAATAGCAGATCTTGGTTTCTCAAAGCTGATTTTCATGCAAAGAAACCTGTATTCTTTGATGAAAACAAAAAATAGGAGAAAGTGGTACGAGGTATGTGGAATTCTACTATTCCATATACGTATTTCTTGAAATGGTAAACAGCAGTCCTAACTAGAGTATAATACATTGGGAACCTGTGTGTAATGAGTGTCACGTTCAATAAAAAACACATGAGCACCATCAAAATTTTAATGCTACATTGAATGTACCAGACTGTCCCAAAGAAGACAGAAGGAAAAACAAAGAGAGAAAAAGCTTGGTAGTACAGATGCAAAACTAAAAACTACATTTTTGTTTTTCAATGATGAAAACTAAACTTCTGAATGACAAATGTGACAACTATAAAGAGGGCAATTTTGACTCCTTTCACATCACTTCAACCATGTAATCAACTACAGTTACTGAGGGTCAACCATGTAAAGAACATCCAGGTTAAAAGTCAAGCAATCAATTGAACATCATCGCTTTTTTCTCTATAGCTTTTTGGAAAAACATGAGTTAAATAAAGATTCAAGGTAACGTAGAAAAACACCTCCTTTTATGCATGTTTCATATCTTCATCTGTGAGACGTCTCCACCCTCCCTGGAATTACATTTACCAGGACTGATATTGGATTACATGCCAGTGCATTTCAGGTATTAAGCAGAGCCACACTGAGATAAAAAGTGTAGAAACAGTCAAAGTATTTCTTAAGAAAGGAGACTGCTTCCAGACAGTTGTATTGATCAAGAGGCAAACTGGCTTCCTCAATTATTTTAAACTCTCTGTAGCTAATAATTTGATGGGTTGACTTCAGCTACACCAATGCAGCAGTGTTATTAAATTGACCTTCCAAGTTCAGTGTATTTTATGTAACAATTTAAGCCTGGTTACAAACATCAACAGGTGTAAATATCTAAGTGTTCAATAAGTCATAAGGATATAGGGTGCATTATGGGAACTGCAGTTAATGATACTGTATTGTAATCTTTTCAAATTTGCTGAAAGAGTAAATCTCATCACAAGAAAACTAATTTTTTATCTGTGTATGAATACAGCAGCTCACCCTTGCTGCGGTGATACTTTACAATATGTACAAATATAGAATAATTATGTTGTGCCAATTGAAACCAGTAGAACATTACATGCTAATCATATCTCAAAAATGGCACTGAGTAAACAGTTACAGAATAGAGTAATTCTGGTTATTAGCAAAGCTGTCTTCTATATATTCTTCATTTCAAATTTAATTTCTAAGAAGTCAAGAGCAGAATCTAGGAAACCTAGGATCCCTAAGGAGCAGCAGGAAGGGGCTAAACGTGGGGAAACATGAAGCCAACACGTGACAGATCTGTTGCAACCATAGTTTGTAATTTAAATGGACAAGGATATAAAGAGTAAAAATGGAATTCAGCACATAGGAGATGACAAAGGAGACCACGATCATCAGGATGGTGTGGGTGGCTCTAATCTCTGGGGGGCATCTGTGGTACCCAGTGGGGATGTGAATACACTGCATTTTCAGCTGGTGCCTGTGCAGGAGAAGCATCATGGAGCCACTGGACCAGATCAGGAGACTAATAAACATGACATCCGAGATGGACCACAGGATGACAAGGTTTGTGTGGTGACCTGAAGATGAACAAAACCACTTTCCTTGAGTGTCAGTATCATTTTTCATGTCCAGTGGACCAGTGACTGTCACAGGAATATAGACATTCAATAAGACACTGAAAATCCAGCAGGTACAACAGGAAGGACCAATGAGCTTGGGGGCTCTTCCTCTGAGCATCGTCCACTCCACTCTCCTGGGGTTGAGAGTGAAGAACTGATAGGTGCTCAGGACACAGGTGGAGCAAAGGGTGGTGCTTCGAGCCACTCTGTGTATATAATATACAGATTTACACCCAAGACTGGAAAGGGGGTTCCTCAAAACAAAGGCTGCCATTGTGTAGGGAATTCTCGAGGAGAGAAGAACCAAGAGATTGGACACGGCCATGTGGGTCAGAATCACGTGTGTGGGTCTCTGCTTGTGTCCCAGTAAGACTGGAGAGATGTTGCAGAAGAAAAGAATGACATTGGCCTGGGCCCCAGCTATCATCTGCAGCTGAAAGATGGTTTTCACAGCCACCTCCCCTACAATCCTCAGGCCATCTGTATGAAAGGACATGGAGAAGGCTTCGGAGTGTCCTCGAATGCAAATGAGACTGTGCTGGTAATGACCTCAACAGTCTTCTTATGAAACCAACATTGGAAAAACAATCCTTGCTTCTTTCCTCTCCTGAAAAGTATTCTCATTCTTTTCTTCTCCTGGAAGGCAGACACTCTCATCCTCCACAGGAGGGGCTCCACATGGAGAACAAACAAATAACAATAGTTACACGATTCGCCATTATGATTGTGCATTTATTTAAGTCTCATAAATAGGCTGATTCTCCACGGCATGGAAGGTCTATGAGGTAGGAGCCATGTCTCTGTGTGCAGCAATATGGCTGATGCATAATTGGTGTCGAGGAATACGTACTGAGTATATGAAAATGTGACAGAAGGACAGGCAAGGATGTAGTCTACCACCCTTGGAATTCATGACTATCCTGCCTATTAACTTGAGGAAATAATATGGTAAATGCAAAAATATCATGGAGATTATAAGATTGTGAAGCTAATTTTAATACACTTGCAAGTCAATCAGTGGTCAGCATGTGAGAACTCCTATATCACGAGGATTACTAGATACCATATAACTTATAATAAACTGTCATGGACTTCTGCCTTCTGGTTTTTCATGGAAGGATCTTGGAAGTCATCACTTTGCCCCACCAAAAAGAAAACAGTGACTAGACTAAAAACACTTGGATCTCTAAAGAGTTGAGAAACCAGGAGCCATCACTGCCTCCAATATCTGAGAGAAATGTGAGTAGAGGGAATGAAGACATACAGGAGGGGACACTCAGGAGTAGGGCCACCCTGGGAAAAAGCCCTGGGGTTGGAAAACCTGCACTATATGTATGGATTGATGGGGGCTCATTGTGCAGAAGACCGACAGTAAGAGTCTCCAGGCAGACCAGATACGGTGGGATCCCCACTGTTCCATGAGTTTTGTGATATTTCTCTCAGTTAATATCAGAGAAAAATCACCCTATGCTCAGCTTTTTCCTAAATACACCAGAGCCCTGTGTTTTTCTTAACAAAGTCCGTCATCTTTAGAAGCTGGTTTACTGGATCCTAACCAGCTGTGAACTTTTGAGGTTGAAACTGACCTGGGTTAGGGAAATAACCAATTCCAGCCCACTCAGGCCACGCTTTCCTATGAAAGTGGGGGAGAAAATCACCTGAGACACTCTGTGACATTCACAGCCAAGAGGCACAGGTTCACTGAGACAGAGTCCCAATCGCAGGACTATACATGGCTTCCTCTTTCCCCAGACCTCATCAGCACGAGAGTAAAGATTCATTAACAGCACTTCCTTTTACCTGGAACATCATGCCCCAGAAATCAAGGGAAAAATTACAAGGCATACTAATAGGCAAAAAAGCAGTTTGAAGAGAAAGAGCAAGCATCTGACTCAGACATGGCAGCAACGTTGGAATTATCAGATTGAGAATGTAAAGAACCCTATAATTAATATGCTAAGAGCACTACTGAGTGAAATAGACAGCATGGCAGTGCAGGCATGTTCACAGGGAGGTGGAAATTCTAAGGGAGAACCAGAAAGAAATGCTAGACATTTAAAACCTGTCACAGAAATAAGAATGCCTTTCATGGGCTTGTGAACAGACTGGAGGACACGGATGAGGATAGAATCTCTGAGCCTGAGGATCAATAGAAACCTGAAAACTGAAAAGCCAGGAGAACAGAGACTGAAACAAATAAACAAAAATCCTCAGAACAGAATATCCAAGGTTGGTGGGACAGATACCAAGTACATGCACATTAGGATGACCAGCAGAAGTGAGAAAGGACGGAAGAAACACTTTAAACAGAATTTCCCCCAAATGATGTCAACACCAAATCACACACACAGGAATCCCTGAGAGTCCCACAGAGCGATTAACACAAGCCACATCTCTGTACTGAGGCATGCAATACTCAAACCACTATATACTCAAATATAAAGAGAAAATGTGGAAAGAAGCTGGGGTGGGAGGGCGACAAACTTTCCTATAGAGGAACAAAGTACAGAATGACTCCCCACTTCTCTTTGGAAACCAGGTGAAGAAGAAGAGCATGGAATGAAATAGGGAGGACTGTGAGGGAACAGAGCACCAACCCGAATTCCACATCCTGTTTAATTCTCCTTCAGAAGTGGAGGGGAGTCGCAGGCTTCCTCACACGCTGTAACACTGAGGGCGTTTGTTGCCAGTAGACCTGCCTTGCAAGAAATGCTGACAGGGAGTTCTGCACAGAGAAAGGAAATGATATAGATCGGAAATTCAGATCTATATGGAGAGGGGAAGAGCACTGGGGAAGATATAATTGAGAGTAAAATAAACACTTGCACCTACAGCAACATGGATGGACCTTGTCATTCGAAGTGAAGTAAGCAGCAAGAGAAAGAAAAATACCACGTTATCAGTCATATGTGGAATCTAAAAATAAAAGGACACTGAACTCATCTACAAAATAGAAACAGACTCATGGACACAGTAAACCATCTTATGGTTACCGGGGAAAGAGGGGTTGGAAGGGGTAAATTTGGGAGTTTGAGGTTTACAAATGTTGGCCACTATATATAAAAATAGATTTTTAAAAACTTTCTTCTGTATATCATAGGGAACTATGTTCAATGTCTTCTAATAGCCTTTAGTGAAAAATAACATCAAAATGAATATATGTATATATCTATATGCATGACTGGGACATTGTGCTGTACTTAAAAACTGACACATTTTAAATGACTTTACTTCAATAAATACAACAACAACAAAACCCCAAGCAATTTTCTTATTCTTAATCTAAGGGACAAGTTTGTTGTGTTGTCCCAGGAACCACATCTCAGTGCCCGCCTGCCTTGTGAGCCTCTCCTCACCCGCAGGTGTGCGGGGACCAGCAGGGGCAGGGCAGTCTCCATGTACCTGGAAAAGCTGGTTCACACCGTACTTAAAAAGAGTTGGAGGACCCTGAAGCCCTATTTCCCAACATATTTTCTACTGACACAGCTCTCTTTTCATGGAACAAAAGGTAAGGCAGTTGTGTTTCTGGTGCCTGAGCACTTTTTGCTCCATGCGCTTCCTCATACCTTCTGGGGTTTCATAACCTCTGTTATAACATGACTAAACGCATGCAATACAGAGGAAGCCGCCCGAAATAATATGATGCCGACTCAGAAGAAGAGTGTGTGACTTACCCCAGGTCAGCACAGAGATCAGGGCTGGTGTGTGGAGACCCCTGGAGAGGATGAGACAGCCCTGCTGAGAGAGCTGAGCCTGCGCCCAGGATGATGGACACAGGAGGGGGGAATAACGTCTGGACTGAGGGACAAGGTGAGGGTTGGGGAGGCTGGAAGCACTTTGCTTCCATTAAAGAATAAGTAAACATTTCTCAGAAATTGCCTCTGATGGTGTCTTGTTGTTCGCCATGACTACCACCTGGGGTCCAATTGAATATTGGGCTGTCTTAGTCTGCTTGAGCTGTTATGTAACCAAATATCACCACTGGGTGGCTTATAAACCAACAAAAATGACTGCTCACAGTTGTGGACTCTGGAAGTCCAAGTTCCAGGAGCCAGCAGGGTCTCCTTCTGGGGAGAGTCCCCTTCCTGATTCATGCCTAGTGACTCTGTGTCCTCACATGAGGCAAGGGCCATGGAGCTCTGTCAGGACTCTTCTGTAAGGGTCCTCATCCAATTCATGATGTGTCCACCTGGCAGGTTCCCAAAAGTCCATCTGCTGATAGCAGGATTACTGGCACTAAAAATTCAGCTTGTTAACGTTCAGGGGACACAGCATTTGGATCACAGCTTGGCCTGAGCTCCATCCCCTGGGCTTTTAAATATAGAACGCAGTGTTGAATCAGCCCAGACAGTATTATCCTGATCTTATTTCCAACAAGACAAGAGCGTACGTGCTGTTTTCCAACATTCACACCATTTTGTCAGACTTGACAATTCACTGGGTTTCACCACATTACAAATTCCTTTTTTATTCACCCTGCTTCTTCAAAATAGAGAAAGACAGATGAGAATTCCCTCATTCAATTAGAGAGATACAAAGAGGGACAAAAGTTCCTCACACAACTATAAAACACCCAGGCTGATTACAACTATCAGGCAGAAATGACACACCGGAACCTAATCTGTTAGGTCCTAGGAAACCTCTTTTCACACGATTAAGAGGCCCAGACGCTCTGGTCACACAAGGCTTCGCACAGATCCCAACGTGAACCCATCCCACTCTTCCTCACTTTGAGGGACTCCAGGGCACAGGCATTTGCCGTGAACCTCATGACACTGATCCCGCTCAGAAACACACACCAACACCCTTCCTCCTCCTGCCTGCCCAGCCAGGGCATGAACGGGCACACAGGACAAAGCAGGGTTAGCACCTGTCCCACCCACTGGCACTAACAGCACAGCTCTGAGCTCCCCTCCTGTGGGAGAGCCCTCCTCTGCTGCTTTCTGCCCTGAGGTAGAACACAAGGGAGCACTCACCTGCCTGGTCTTGGCCCCACAGCTCTGTGCAGGGAAGTGTCACTCAGATGGGGCCATATTTATAGGGACAGGGTCCCTGGACCTGATCTCCCCACTGAGGAGCCATTACCATGTCATCTGTAGGACAGGTGACACTGTCTGCACGGAGAGCCTGGGGCGTCCCCAGTGAGGAGCAAATCTGACCCCCAGGGCTAGTCCCCCTCGTCCACTCCTGGGGATTAGTGACAAGTCCTGGCAATTACCAAAACGGTCTACGGGAGCAGCTGAGTGGAAGGCACAGAAAGAGTGTCTGTGCCCTGTGGGAGACTCCAAGTTGAGAATGAAAGTCACAACTGGGGGAGGAAGGGACATGCAAGAGGCACCAGGGGCTCCCATCACTGTGTTTCCTGTTGGGCAGTTTCCCTCATGGTCTCATTTGCCAAAACTCTTCCAAAGTTTGTTCACATGGAACATGAGCATGAAGCCTGGAGGCTGGTCTTTCCCAAGAGTTTAAGTTCCACAAGCTTTGCTATTTATGACCTCACGTCAGTTTAAGCTTGAAAATAATCCATGTGAAGCCAGTGTTTCCACTCTCAGATTCCTTGTGCCCAGGCCACTCTGCAAGGAGGTTGAATTTGTTCTGTTCACCCATGAGCCCCCTCCTCGTGTCCCTTGTTGGGGCACCAGCCTGTCCCTGTGTCCTGGGTAATTAGCTAGCAGTGGAGAGAAGCCCTCCTGAACATATGCACAGGGATTAAGAGGAGGCATAGATTAAGAAACACAGAGGGACAATATGATAATTCCTTAAATTGCTCATTATCGGCAGCATTTGATGCTGGGAAATATCAGTTAATAGTTGGATTTGGAAACCAGTTTCCTCAGCTGGAAAATAGGCTTGATGTTCCTCTGAGAGACCACAGAGCAGAGGGGCTGCAATGCTTCCTCCTCGCCAGGCTCCTTAGGTTGTGAGCTGATGGGCTGGGGGCCGCGGACACGTCCACATTCAGTACGTGGGCTTTTCAAAATGAGCCAGACAGATAGGAGACTACGCCTTCGTTAAAGCGTTCAGTCCTGTTCCCTGTCTGGGGGAAAATGTGGAAGTAGGTGTTGAGGGATTACTCATCATGAGGGTCCGTTCAGACATATTCGAACGTGCGGAAACAGAGTGGACGCTCTGTAAGCCCCCATAGCGCAAGGAAAGGAAGAAATGTATGAAACACTCATGTCCCCGGTTCTCATGTTTGAAACGCTGGTTAGATAAGCCCACGGTTCATCACAGGACTTTAGCTGATGTGGTAACATGGCTCAGGTCTGCACTGTCCCGCATGGGAGCCCCCGTCCCCTGTGGCTAGTGGACGCCTGAAATGGCTGCATCTGAACTGAGAAGCCTGTGAATATAAAATATGCACTGGGTTTCTAAGAGGTATTAATATGGATAGAATGCAAACTATCTTGTCAAGAACTTTTTAGATTTGATTCTAGCTTGAAATGACATTCTCAGAAGATTAAATAATGGACAGTTTCTTTTCACTTCACATGGCTACACATAAATTGCTAATTACACCTGTAGGTCATGTTCTATTTCTATTGGACATGGCTGGTTAGACTCAGAAACTCTTCAGTCTCCCAGGTGACCCCCCTGGTGGTGTGAAAAGGCCTGGCAGAACCTGAGACGTTGGCTACATCACTGGGGGAAAGTCAGCACCTTGTGCAGCCTGTGAAGCCATGGTGACTAAAGGAAATGAAGACACTGTCATTTCTCCGGCCTGTATATGAAATTCAAAGTCAGCCTACTGCTCTCAGGGTAGCATATACAGTCCTGCGTCCCTGGATGCACACGCTGTGTCTGGCACTGAGTTGACCTCACACAACACTTCTGAATAACAAAGGTCTACATTCTACAGACCTTGCCTTTCAAAGCTGCCTTTTGTTGGAATCTGAGAAATCAAGAGAAAATTGCACAAGACTGGGCTCACCTCATGCCCACGAGGTCCTCCTGGAGCCCCCACCCTATTCCCCTGACAGTTCAGTCCTGGAGTGAGGTCCCCTGCAAGGCGCTTCTACTGGAGATGGTCCCTCCTCCCTCCTCACTCACATCCCACCTCTTCTCCTTCATCTGATCACAGTTTGATTTATTTCTGGAATATACAACCCAAAGCAAGCTACAGATTCAATGCAACCCCTATCAAAATATCCATCCCATCTTTCACAGAACTCGAGCAAATAATCCCCCAGTTGACATGGAACCCCAGAAGCCCCCGAACTGCTAAAGCTACCTTGAGATGGAACAGGGCTGCTGGAATCACGCTCCCTGACTTCAGACGGAGTCAGAACGCTACAGGTATCCAAAGGGGTGTCAGTGGCACACAGACAGACCGTCAGAGCACTGGGCCGGAACAGACAGCCCAGGAGCACACCCACGTACCACGCTCAGCCAGCTCACAGCTAAGGAGGCAAGAACACGCAATGGAGAAAAGGCAGTTACTGCTCTACGTGATGCTGAGAAGGCTGATCGCCTGCATGGGAAAGAGCGAGGTTAGAATATTAACTGCTGCCACATCGAGAGGTAAGCTAAAAACAGATTACAGGCCTAAATTTAAGGTCTGAAACCATAAAACTCCTAGAAAGGAACACGGGCAGGATACTGTCTGACTTTAATCCTAGCAATATTCTTTCATTTTTTATACATCTATTTTATAACATATAGCATTATTCATTATAACCAAAAGACAGAAGAAAGCCGAGTCCATCAGAGGGTGAATGAATAAACAAAAAGTGGCATATACTTCTCAGCGGGATCCTGTTCAGCATTAAGAGGGAATTTCCGACAATTCTGCAGCCTGGATGAACCCTGAGGACATTATGCTCTGTGAGATGAGCCAGTCACCAAGAGACAAATACTGTATGATTCCACTTACATGAGGGACCTCAAGTACCAAAATCAGAAAGAGAGGAAGTGGAGTGGTGGTTAGGCGCCAGGAGGAGGTGCGAACGGGAATTTGTTGTTGTCAGTTTTGCAAGATGAAAAGGGTTCTGGCGACTGCACAACGCTGTACATTTACTTAACACAACTGAACTGTCTACTCCAAAATGGTTATTAAGATGGTAAATTTTACGTTATATGTATTTCACTACCATTTAAAAAAATTTAAAATATATAAAAATAAATTACAGTGTGTGATTTCCAGGGTGTTATGTCTAGGCGGTAATTAAATGAGTATTATCAGAGGAGAACTCTGTTTTACTAAGGTTAAAAATGATAAAAAAAAAGAACCAAAAACAAATTTATACTGTAAAGCACAGGGATATTCAATATCTTGTAGTAACTTACGTTGAAAAAGAATATGAAAACGAATGTATGTGTGTTCATGTGACTGAAACATGCTGTACACCTGAAACGGACACATGATAAACTGACTTTACTTCAATAAAAAATATATACAAAAGATATTAAATTCTGAGGAATAAACCTAACAAGGAAGTGAAAGATCTGCACACTGAAAATTAGAAAACCTTGATGGGAAACACTAGAGAAAGCACAAATATATGGCAAGACATCCTGTGTTCATGCACTGGAGGTCTCAGCATCGTTCCAATGGCAACACTGCCCAAAGCTATTTATAGATGCAGTGCAACTCCTATTAAGATTCCAACTATACCTCTTTGTTGAAATAGAAATCTCTTCCTTAAGATTCATAAGGGAGTCCAAGGGACTCTCCAGCATTCAAACCCATCTTGTAAAAAACAAAGCTTGTAGTCTCACAATTCCTGATTTCAAAACTTAGTGCAAAAAAAAAAATCAAAACAGTGGTGGTACTGATCGAAAGACAGACAAACAGTGAAGACTAGGAGGCCCAGAAATATACCACCACATCACAGGACTTTCGACAAGGGTGCCAATGCCTCTCACTGGTGAAACACAGTCTCCTTGACAAACAACGTGGGTCAACTTGGAGTCCGCATGCAAAATGCCGCCGGACGAATGAGACTACCTGACTCAAAACTGTGAGTCAAAGGAAACAGTCAGCCAAGTGCAATACAACCGAGAGAATAAGAGAAAACACTTGCAAGTCACAGATCTGATAAGGTAGTGCAACCTAAGTTATGTAATATATGTGCTCCCTAAAAAACTAAAAACAGGCTTACCGTATGATCCAGCAGTCCCACTCGTGGGCATCTATCCAGGGAAAACTCTAATAGGAAAAGACACATGCACCCCAGTGTTCAGAGCTGCACTATTTACAACAGCCAAGACATGGAAGCAACCTCAGTGTCCATCCACAGACGACTGGCTAAAGAAGAGGTGATACACACACACACACCCACCATGGAATACTACTCAGCATAAAAAAGGAAATAATGCAATTTGCAGCTACATGGATCGACATGGAGGTTGTCATGCTAACTGAAGTAAGTCAGAGAGACAAAGACAAATATCATATGATCTCACTTATATGTGGAATCTAAAAAATGGCAAAAATGAACTTATTCACAAAACAGAAACAGGCTCAGAAAACAAACCCATGTTTACCAAAGAGAGAAGGGGGGAGTGATAATTTAGGAGTTTGGGATTTGCAGATAGTACAGCACAGGGAGCTATACTCAATACATTCTAACAACCTATGATGAAAAAATATGATACTGGATATATATGTGTGACGAATCACTCAGTTGCACACCAGAAACGAACACATTTACGTCAACTTCCCTTCAATAGAAAATAAAATATGTAACAAACTCCTGTAACTGAACAAAAAACAAATAACCTGATTAACAAATGAGCAAGGAACTTTAAAAGATATTTCTCTAAAAGGTGATACACAAATGGTCAATCAGAATATGAAAATGTGCTTAAGATCACTTATCTTCAGAGAAATGGAAAACGGAACCAAAATGAGGTATCATCTCAAGAAAATTAACATAGCGGCTATTTAGAAAAACCTCCAGAAAAATAACAACTTTTGAGGATGGGGAGAAATTTAAACTCTTCTGCACCTTTCCTGGGGTTATACAATGCAGCCACCACCACAGATGGCCGATGTACCCAGGACCGCTGGACTTCAGTGCCCTCAACCCACACGAGCTGCCCGGGAAGCCGGTGCGCAGCCCGCGGGGCAGTGCAGAACGTGCAGCTGCCTCATGAGGGCCAAGAGGGCCAGGGCCTCGTCAAGGACTTGCCCCTGCACTGCGTCAAGAAGCCTGGCCCCAAGAACTTCAGAATTACCTACCACCCTCTGCCCCCTGCCATCTCCAATATCCCACCCTCCACGATGGAGGGTGACCTCAAGATCCTCTTCTCCAGTATCAGCAGTGTCATCAAAGAGCTCAAGTTCATCCAGAAGGACTGCAAGATGGCCCTGATCCAGACAGGCTCCATGGAGGAGGCATCCAGGCACTCATCCACTTGTACAACCACGACCTGTGTGAGAACCACCACCTGAGGCTGTCCTTCTCCAAGTCCCCCATCTTGGCCCCCAGGCTGGGCGCCCAGCCACAACTTCCATCGTTCCAGAAAAAAGTTGAGACAGGATGGAAGGGCGCAGGGCACAGCCACTCAAGGAATGACAGCAATTTAACAGCAAAATGGTGGGAGATTCAACTCCCAGTTGGCCTTGAGGATTAAGTTGGCAGGAGAGCTGACTTCTGGTAGAACTTGAGCTTCATTATATGCTGATTGTAATATATTAGCATGAGAAATAACTTGCCTGCAGGCACCGTGACAGTCCCGAGGCTAACAGCAATTCCTGGGAACCCCAGACGCTTCCCCAGGGTAGTTGGAACGGTCCCACCTGCAGGCCTGCGAAGCTACTGAGCCCAGAAAAACTGGCAACACCAGGTCTAGCCGCTCTTTTCAACCCCTCCTCTTTGGAGACAGCCCGCGATCTGCCTATGGAGTGTGTACCCACTTTTACTTTAACCTAAGCAACCCATTCCCACACATCTCTGCTTGCCCTACACTCTATGTAGTGCGTATCTCTAAATAAATCAACCTTTACTCAACTCTAGCCCACACTTGAATTCTTTCCTGCACGAAGCCAAGAACCCACACTTGGTGGGGCACATCCCAGGGGCTCAACCGAGACCTGGGATGTGGCCCTCCTCATGCCCCACATCCATTTTCCTGCATCGAAGTCATTTTAAAAAGCAGCTAAAGACTTGGTTGGGACACAGGGGTTCGGGGTGGGGAGAGTACAGCACATGCTTAGCATGCAAGAGGTCCTGGGTTCAATCCCCAGCACCTCCTCTAAAAATAAAACCTAATTTCCCCCCCCAAAAAGTGTCAGTGATTACAAAAAGCAGATAAAATGACCTTAAAAGACCAGAGATTTTTTTAAAGAGAAATCAGTTTACGTGTTTTGAAAAAAGTTAAATCTAATTCACTTGCTCCCCTTGGGGACACGGGGTGCTGGCGTGGTCGGCACTCCTGCTTCCCTGCCCCCTCACCTGTGCCTTCTGCAGCTGCAGGGTATGCACGCCCAAACCTCCTCTTGTTCCTCAGGCCCGCTTCTCAGGCAGGGCCTTCTGGAGTCGCAGACGTGGAGGGATTTGGGGGACCGAGGGGTCAGCCTCCCATGGGATCAGGAGCCTGACGTGGCAGGAGGCTGTGGATGGCAGGGGCTGGCAGACACTCCAGATCGTTTAATCAAGTATGTGATTCTTCCCCTCCACAGCCCCAGGGGCCCCTCTGGGGACGAGACCCCAGGGCGCGTCCCTGGTGCTTCCTCAGCTTGGTTCTCTCTGGTATCCCTGCAGCTTCTCACTGGAAATAGTTCCAGTTGACCAAATATCGTAATCTTTCCCATTTATATGCAAAATAGTGTTAGTTGGCTTGTTATATAGCAAGATAAAAATGCTATGAATGTGATCTAAAGTTTCTTCCACAAGTTTGACATCTTATTTTGTTATTTCACTCCTTGTGACAGGATCCAGCGTCAGGGCCGATGCCACGGTCAGCTGGGCGGCCCCCGGACGCCTTTATCACGCCCAACTGTCCTCCGCCTGGGAGCACGAGCACTCTTAAACTTTCAGGATTTCTTTTTTCCTTCAAATTTTAGACCAAAGTTTTGTTTCTGTTTTTTATCTGCCTCTAATACTGGGACCTCAGGAGCTGGGCAGCCATCCCCACCTTTTTTTAAATTTTAACTGAAGCACATTCAGTTACAATGTGTCCATTTCTGGTATACAGCTCAATGTCTCGCTCGTGTATACACAGATATATATTCATTTTCATATACTTTTTCATTAAAGGTCATTGAAAGATATTGAACATAGTTCCCTGCACTATACAGAAGAATCTTTTTTAAATCTATTTTTTATATAGTGGCTAATTTTCAGAGAAATGCAAATCAAAACTACAATGAGGTATCGACTCACATCAGTCAGAATGGCCATCAATCAAATATCCACAAATGATAAATGCTGGAGAGGGTATGGAGAAAAGGGAACCCCCCTACACTGCTGGTGGGAATGCAGTTTGGTGCAGCCACTGTGGAAAACAGTATGGAGATTCCACAAAAGACTAGAAATAGATTTACCCTATGATCCAGCAATCCCACTTCTGGGTATATGTCCCTTGGGAACTCTAATTCAGAAAGATACAAGCACCCCAATGTTCATAGCAGCACTATTTATAATAGCCAAGATATGGAGACAACCTAAATGTCCATCAAAAGATAGCAGGATAAAGAAGTCATGGTATATTTATATAATGGAATACTACTCAGCCATCAAAAAGAATAAAAGAATGCCATTTGCAGCATCCTGGACGGACATGGAGATCATCACACTAAGTGAAGTAAGCCAGAAAGAGAAAGCAAATTACCTCTGGTCTTAACTGCTGGCTTCTGCAGTTAGAAGTCCATGGGGCTCATGTACAGTCCAGCCCTCCCTCTCTCCCCATCTCCCTTCCTAGGGGCCTGGGCCCCAAGTTTCCATTTCGTGTGGAACAAGGGTGTGATTATTTATCATTTTTTTATACCTGTTGTAAATCATGAGGGGCAGCAGGTGGTGACACAGATGTGTATTCTGATAATAGCTGTTACAGACTCAATGTTGCAAGGGGAGCAGGCAGAGTCCACTGGCTGATTCCGGCTTGGAATACAGAGACAACTGAAGTAAAGCAATTTTAAAACAACAACAACAAAGTGCAGCAACCACTATGGGAAACAGATCCTCATAATATTGAAACTAGAACTACTGTGTGACCAAGTTATCCAAATTCTAGATGCACATCCAAAATAACTGAAAGCCACGGGTTGAGAAATTTGCAAGCTGACGTTCACAGCAGCACTATTCACAGCAGCGAAGTAGCCAAACCACCCCCACACTGAGCTTCAGATGGATGGATGGGCGAACAAACATGGACTGTACCCGCAGTGGAATATATTTCAGTCTTTAAAAGGAAGGAAGTCCTGGCACATGGAACAGCATGGAACCTTGAAGACAGGGGAAACCAGCCATCCCCACACAAAAAGTGCTTTTGAATTCCACGCACAGGTGCATATAAAGAGATTAAATATCCAGAATATAACAGTAAAATGGTGAACACCAATGGCTGAGGAGAGAAGAACTTGCTTTGCAGAGCACGTAGACACCAGCTCTGTGAGAAGGACAAGTCCTGGAGGTCTGTGCCACAGCAACAAGGATTCTGCGCAGGACTGAGCAGAGGAAACCCTGGTTCTAGCTAGCCCATTTGTTTTATGATTATCCTCAACTACAGAAGTTTTTTCAAATGTAGTTTGTAAACGTAATTAGTTGGAATAATATAAATCAGCCTTCATGGTATCTAACGAGTTTCTGAAAAAAATTTCCATAAAGAAAAAAGCCATATTAGTGCAACTTATTCTACGTAAGATTAAGATTCTGTGGGTGTGAACGTTAGAAACTTTGTTACCTTGTTATATTGCATTGTTTCCAAACACTGAAGTGAACAATTTCAAACTACTGGTAGTAAGAAAATTTTTTCTCTAAAATTTAAAAACAAATACCATTTGATGTAAGGAAAAAAAACTAAAAAAGAGAAAGATCTCCATAAACAACCAAACTTTATACCTCACAAAACTAAAAAGCACTAACTAAGGTCAAAGCAGCAGAAGGAAGAAAACAGCAAAGACCAGAGCAGAAGTACATGAAATAGAGACCAGAAAAACCATGGAAAACTTCGACAAAACTGAGTTGGTTTTTTTTTTTTTGAAAAGAAAACATCCCTTTGCTTACTTACCTGGGCAGGAATGTGAGGGACATCGGTCACACTCACAGTCGCGTTTCACACCCCAGCGCTGCCCTCTCTTCCTCTTCCTCACTAAGTCCTGATGAATTGGCTTCCCTTAAAAAAATGAAAAACACGTTTTTCTTTCATCACAGCAACTTGCAGTCCTCCCTCTACCTGACCCCCCCCTTCCCATGGCTTCAAGTGTCCTGCTCCTTCTCGGACTCCAGCCCTGCTGATTTCACCAGCTTCTGTCCACGTGACAGTCATCCTCAGCCACCATGTCCTGTTAACTCCCAGTCTCCAAGTGAAACCCGTCCCTTTGTTGCTTCCTTACTCTTCAGCCTCTCCCTAGTGCCCTGACAGCTGGATGCGGACACGTGGTCTCCTCATCCACGAATCAGGTCTCAGACCACGGCGGCTGGCCACAGTGAGCATCCAGGGAACACTGGATACTGCTCTTCAACACTGTCTCCAACAAGAGGGAGGAAATACATAAATTTACTTATTCTGACCTCTGTTGCAAATTACAATCATCTGCAAATTCTCTGGGACTGGAGGGAGCTGGGTTTTACTGGAGCCTCATGAATCATACAAAATCTCTTTTACTAACAAAAGATCTGACTTGACTCTCATGCCCAGTAAATCCTCATTTGACCCTCCAGAAGCCCTGTTCTGTGTTCCCTAAATCAAAGCTCCACCCTGCCACTGCATCGTTCAGTGTGCATGACCGGTGGGAAGCAGGGTTAGCAGGTGTCCTGCCCAAAGTCACTGCACAAGCAGAGCTCCAAGAGCCTCTCCTGTTGGAGACACCCTCTGTCCTGTGTTTTGCCCTGAGAAGGAAGCACTCACCTGACTCATCTTGGCTGCAAAGCTCCATTCAGGGAAGTGTTGATCAGGATGGGTTCCGCAGCTCCTGAGTCCACAGTTACAGGGACAGGGTCCACACACCTGGTCTCCAACAGGAACACCATCATCTGCTTATCAGCGACACTGCATGGAGCGCCTTCGGTGTCTCCCATGAGCAGCCAATTTCATCCCAGTGCAGCCATCATCTCTTCCTCAAGTGCTTAAGGACAACGTTTGGCAATTTAAAAAGACCTGAGAGGCCAAGCAGAGGCCAAAAAACCTTTTCTGCATTCCCCGAGGATAACTGAAGTTCAGAATCAAAGTGATAATCAGGCGTTCAAGGGACACTTGAAGGTGACTTCTGTCACATTCTTAATTGGTCAAGTTCAAGGACAAAGCTTTTTCATCTCTTCAGAATACTCAGTGTCATCTTGGTCAGGAGTCTGTTTCTAATGACTTTAAATTCCATGATTCTTGCTACTTATAGCCTTAGGACTTTTTCATCTGGAGAATACCCAGATTTGAAGCTGTCTCTCCCACTTCAGAACACTGTGTATCTGACGTGATTCC